GCATGACACAGGTGCACTTACACACATGCAGGCAATACACTCATACATATAAAAATTAAAATTAAAATATTCAAAAATTTTAAAAATGGAATCTCCAGTGACTTCTAGTTGGTGTGGTTCATATGGTTAGAGTGGACTCTGTTAGTCTCAGTACAAAGTGGTCCTGAGTGGACATCTTCTCTGGGATGCTTTAGAAATACAGTATGTATTTAAAAAATGCTTTCCTAGTAATTTCTTCTTTACAAATTAAAAAAATATTTTATTATTTTTATTTTTTATGTTGTATGAGTGTATTCCCTGCATGTATGTAAGTGAACCCATGTTGTGCAACATCTGCAGCGGTCAGAAAAGGGCATTGGATTCCTCTGGAACTGGAATTACAGATGGTTGTTAGTTGCTATTTGTGTGCTAGGAATTGAACGGGTCCTCTGCAAGGGCAGCCAGTGCTCTTAACCGCTGAGCCATCTTTCCAGCCCTAGTTATTTTCTCTTAATTAAAAAACGTCTTCTTTCATGTTGTAAAAAGTATTGTCTCCTTCTGCTTTGTATATTGGTCTGAAAGTGGTCTCACTTTATGACCCAAATGCTGAAGTAACAGATATGATGACAAGAACAGCAGTGAGATCAGTGTGAACATCTGAGCATTGGCTTCTGCAGGAGTCTTTAGTCCCTGGATTCCCAGACAGCACGAGTGTTATCACAGGCAGACAGGAGAACCAGCAGAGGGCACCCAGCCTTGCCCTCCATGGATTTCCAAAACTCTCCTTTCCTCTTCAGGATTTGAAATTTGCATCGGGTCACTGCAATTCCCTTAGCTATAGGAATCAGAAGAAACAGTCATCTGAAACTCGAGCAAGTGAAAATTTAAGAACATAAATTTTATCAAATATATCCAGGGAGAATAGCATGTATAAATGGGCTTTAAAGTTGTATGATAATAGTTCTAAAAAGTCATAATGATATAAGTTCTGTCAGTCTTATCAGTGTCTGAAATGATTGGTCCTTTCCTGTGTATCTGTAAATATTTAATAAGTGCCTCTTCTATTTGAGAGACTTTCTGGGTACCAGAACTCACAGTCAGACAGACGCCACCCTCAAAGAGCCAGTGTTGGAATGGGGTATTGATGACTGATTGACTGCTTGACACAACCTCCCAGTAGTTGCAAGTCTTAGTATTACATGTAGTACCCACCAAAAATGGCCTTCATGGGTGTCAGTAACTCCAGGGTGTTGAAAATTTGAAGCAATGAAATGCTCCTCACATATCACTTCCTGTGATATGGCGACAATGTGGCCCTTAGTGTCTGTTTCATCATGGTTGTGCAGGTGTGCTTAGCAAGCAATACCCTTGATAAAGACTCTGGAAAATCTTGTGAAAAAAATGAAACAGGTCACACGTGCTCAGTGCATGCTTTGGGCACTGGTGTTTTGTCTACTAGGACCTCAGTTTTGGTAGCTGTGTTTGTTAGAGGCTGCATCTTGTAACTTTAAGGAATTACAAATGACAATGTTTTTAAGCATACAGAGCTAAACTAGGAATGTTGAATACTGTGTCGAAGATCCGAGGGCAGGTGAAGACCACTGGCTACCCACAGACAGAAGGCTTGCTGGGGGACTGCATGCTGAAATACGGGAGGGAGCTTGGCGAAGACTCTACTTTCGGTAGGTATCCACACATCACCCGGTACAGCTGAGAATACCTCCTGCTGGGTTTTTGGTTGTACATGAAACCTTTAGCTTTGCAATGAATAGTTTTGCATATCACCACAGTAATACATCTTCATGGAAGGAGGTGTAGAAAATTTAGGAAAGGAAAATCCTAGCATCTGTTATTAATCCTTCTCCACAGATATGCTCACTTAAACTTTGTTATATTGCTTCATATCTTTTGTTTATTCTCATATATATATAC